ATCAGAAATGAGCTTTCTACTGATTGTAAGTGCCGGTTGTGTTCCGGGCATTTTAAAATACGAAAGGAAACAACTCTGTCAGCACTAAATGCTCCAAGAAGATCCCCGGCGGGGCCAACTGAAGTGCCTGGTCCTGGAGTTTGACACAAACTTTTAAAAGTCTTCTTAGAGTCCCGAAGGCCCTTTAAAAGGGCGCCTGTCTACTAGAGATGTGGTTCAAAGCACCTCAGCCCCTCAGAGCGGTTTGGGTAGTCGTCGCTATGGAAAGAAGCCAAGTAATTCTCCCCATCCCAACACCTACCTTTTAATTTTGAAAATAATAGAAATAATTGAAATAATGCTGCAATCAATCTGAATTCATTTAATATTTTCTCAATTTAATTGATATAATTTTCTCTCTCAAGAACGATATTCACAGGTCTCTGTACCCCCCTGCCAGCACCTGAAAGTTTCAGACTTGAAACTTTTGGAACACCTGGAAAAATTGATATTAATATGTCATCATTCACTAGTTCACATTTAAATTTCCCCTTGTTGTCCTTAAAAAACCATAGTTGTTTTTTAGAAATTTTATTTTCTAGGAATTTTCTTTTTTCCCTTTCTTTTTCTTTTTGCAGTACTGGGGGTTGACCAGTACTGACTGGTACTGAGATAAATACTTTTTAGATTGTGAATCATAGATTTAAGTGTAACACATAAAACTGTAAGACATTTTTAAAGAAAACATACAGGAGAAATTCTTCAGGACCTTGGCCTGAGTGGAGTTCTTAGACATGACATAACTCAGATCTCATTAAAATGTCAAATTTGTCCCGTGAATGAGCTAGTTAATAAAATGAAAATACAAACTACACAGAGAAAAAAATCACAAACTACATTTCTGATAAAGGATTTTATCTAGACTATATAGAGATCTCTCAAAACTCAATAATAAGAAAGCAAACCATTTAATTGGAAAATGAGCCAAAGACATGAGAGGATATTTCCAAAGAATCTTATAAAAATATGTTTAACACTGTTGAAGTAAAAATCAAAACCACAAGGAGATGTCAGTAGTACTACTTATCAGAATGCCCCACCCCCCCCATATATGCATTACCAAATGCTGGTGGGGAGGATGCACAGATGCATTCAAATATTGTTGGTGGCACAGCCATCCTGGAGAGAGTATGGCAATGTTTTTTATTTATTTAATTAATTAATTAATTAATTTATTTATTTTTAACTTTTTTTCTTTTTATTGGTTGTTCAAAACATTACAAAGCTCTTGACATATCATATTTCATGCATTTGATTCAAGTGGGTTATGAACTCCCATTTTTACCCCGTATACAGATTGCAGAATCACATTGGTTACATATCCACGTTTTTACATATTGCCATACTAGTGACTGTTGTATTTTGCTATCTTTCCTATCCTCTACTATCCCCCCTCCCCTCCCCTCTCATCTTCTCTCTCTGTTTTTTAAATCTAAATATGCACTTACCCAATAATTATATTTCTAGGCATTTATCCTTGAGAAATAGAAGCTTAGTTTTGCACAAAAACTTACACATAAACATTCATTGCACTTTTGTTTGTGAAAGTCCCAAACTGGAAAAAGCCTAAAATTCCTCAGTGGGTGAATGGTTAAATAAACTATGGCACTACTGTACTATACAATGCCACTCTGCCATAAAAACTATTTGTATTGCTACAAAGAACAATTTGGGTAGATCTCAGGGAGTTATTCTGAGTGGAAATGTCAATTTCAAAAGGTTTATATACTATAGGATTGCATTTATATGATATTCTAGAAATGACAAAATTCTAATAATGCTAAACAGATTAGCAGTTGCTAGGACAGGGAGTGGGGTGTGACCATAAAGGGGTAAAACAAGGGAGATCTTTGTGCTAGTAGAAGAGCTCTTTATCGTGTTTGTGATGGTAGTTACAAGAATCTAAACTAAATAGAATTATACCCAAACATTGTAGTAATGTAAAATTTCTGGTTTTGTTATACTATAATTATGTAAAATGTAGCTATTGGTTGAAATTGGCCACACTGGGACCTGTTATTCTCTGTGACTTCCAGTGAGTCCATAATTAAAAAAAAATTATCGGTTTCCTACATACTAGGTGTCATCATAACCCCCTGCAATTATAATCCAGGCAGAAGCCCACTTCTGGCATCCCAAAGTTCTTGCTGTTTTATTGATGACATACAACATAAACTGTTTCTTGTTATGCTTATTTTGTTGTATGTCTGAGTTCCTGAGCTTGCCTCCAAGTTCACTGTGGTAGGATTTAAGTCTTGCCTGCCAGATTTCAGAGCTGTTAACAGAGTGGTTGTTTAATGCATGTGAATTTAATGTGTGCTGTGAGACAGTGGGGACTGGGAGACTGTGGTGCCAATGGCTCCTGTGCAGCTGAGCTTCAAGTGAGGGAGGGGACAGATAATTACACTCTCTAGGGAGGTAACTGGGGCATGGGTGAGTCAGTCCTGGGAGAAACAATTTGCCCTGAGGCCTCAAGATTCCCTACACAGTCCTTTTGGGTATGCTCTAAATGTAAGGTCCTGACCACTCTTTGCTAGTACTGTTTCTCAGGGTTGTGTTTTAGCAGCAACCTTGGAGGATAAAAAGTTCATATAAAAAGAGCTGGGGATGCAGCTCAGTGGTAAAGTGCTTGCCTTGCATGCACAAGGCTCTGAGTTTGATTCCCAGCAAGGGGAGGAAAAAAAAGTGCTTAAACTTTACCCCCAAGAAAAAGCAGGCTTGCCTACTGCTGTTAAAATATTGTTAAACTCTCTGAGCTTAGTGCTCCTCAGCTTCCATACAAGTCCACTGCTGATGTAGTATCTACCAGGATCCCTCTATCTTGCCCCCTTGGGACTTGGGATGTTCTTGCAGCTTGACGGTGCCCTGAGTCCTCTGTCTCTAACTCATGAGTCTTTCCAGCTTCCATGAAACCTTGACAGGCTCATTTGTTAGACATAAAATTCCAGACCCTGTTAGAGTGGTTTTTCTGAGAAGCAGCATGCTGTTCTGGCCTAGTTTTAGGCTCTAAACAGAAAGTCAGTACCTCAGGTGGTTCTGAAGGTACCTTGTTCCCCTTGATGATAAACTGTCCCCTAACTTCATAGCCACCTGGCCTCTTGCTGTGGCCTTTGAGTGATGAACTCATACCCCAAGAGGTCTTTTAGGGACAAAACTCAGGCCAGGTCACTGCCAAATGA